TTGAACATCCTAATATTAAATGACATTCAAATAAAGATTTATAAATTTAGAGATTTGTTGTTTTCACACAAGGAAGACAATTTCTCCGACTCATTTATTTATGCAGGGAACAAGAACATTCAACGATGGAACACAATTCTACTATGATTGTAAGTATAAACATTTGGTATCCCATTTATCCTCAAATAAAATTGAAATTTGCAACACTTCATTTAGCAGCATATTAATCCCCCAAGACTGGAAAGGAGAGCTAGTGTGAACAAAACGTTGCAGAGTGGATCAAGTTAAAAACACACATGTACCCACATCCATGAGCACAGCTCTGGGAGCGCGTGCGAAGGAAGCACAGTGCGTGGCGGTGGGTGTCTTGGCTCTATGCTTACAGATTTATCTGTGTTTTGACCACTGGTCCATTTGCTTAGAATAGAGGAGAGCATATTGCAATGAATACTTATTTAATCAAACAATTGTTCCATGCCTCCAACACCACTACTTTTAGAATCATGCTGGAAGAAAGGGGCAGCAAATATGTAAATTGGAACTGATGAGGGGATTATGTTTCACTAAAAAAAAAAAAATAAAAATTGGAATAAAAACAGCCTGCAAATCCCTCTAAGCCAAGCCCTGTCTCTGAATTACAACACCAGCGCCTGTCGGCTGTGATAATTTCACTTCATTAAGTTCCAGATATAAATAGAGAGCCCCTTTTTTCCATGCACCACTTTAAATAAGCATGGACTGAAAACACAGGGGTTATTGATCCCCTCAGCTGTTTGTTATTGGGTCTTTGGTCTTGCTTCATTGTGTGCAGTAGAAACTTTCAAACACCTATATCATGAAGCCAGGGACAATTTACCTCTGTGAAACCATTTTAAGAGTATTGCTCCCACTGCCAAAAAAGTTAAAAGAATAAATCTCATCAAGTACGCTACAAACTGAAATGCAAAACAGACTTGGTGTACACAGCATGGGAAAATGCAGATAAATTAATAAGAAAATTTGATTAAATGTCAGTGTTTCAGCACTAGTAGCAGATTACTTTATATAGTAAGATAATATAAAATATACTTTTTCTCTATTTATGGGCTTGTACGCAAAGATGCTTTCCCCCCTCTAACTCAGAGTTTTCTATCTGATAGACTTTTCAGATAATGTACCACATACATAATGTTTTTGGAATTAAATATGTATGTACCCCAAATTTGAAGAAAACATTTGCACATGAAAGAACATCAATTCTAATGTTTCAAATAAAGTTTTGACAAAAGTAGGTAATTGAAATCAGAAAACAAAACCAAAAGAGAACTTTTAACAGTTTAAGGTAGGGATCGGCATACTTCTATAAAAGTGGGAAAACAAATAATAACACATTGGTATACTGGTACTTCTATAAGCATTAAGCTGTAACCCTTTAAAAATGTAAAAGCAATTCTTAGCTTGCAGACCTTGGAAAAACAGGTGGTGGGCTGTATTTGGCCCATGCATCACTTTGCCCACCTTGGCCTGGCATATACAAAGATAATGTTCATTTTATCGTTTCATTTATTAATTTTTATTTTTCCACAGATTAAATCTAGCCACTGATTGAGACGCACAGTTAATGAGTTTCAGGTTTAATTCTTTATCTCAGAAAACCCAGATTGTAAATTGTTTTAGAAGGCAAAATGACTTTGCAATGCCTTCATGTCAATGGGCTTTTGTCCACATAATAAAATGACTTGGCATCACTGGATACCAACAAGCATGACCAGCCAGCTGGGATTGGCAGCAATCTAAGAGTGAGCAGCAGACTGAGGCTGGAGATAAACATTAAGGGGCAAAGTATGAGAAATGAGGTGGGAGTACAGAGGTGTTGCTTAGGCTCTGGCATGGTTTGAACTTGACCCAAATCAGTTGGTTCTATGAATCCTTTATTTCATGAACACCAGTTTAGAAAACAGATTCCACAGCCCAGTCCTCAAGGACCAGAGGATGGTGGGGAGTGTTTCAGTTATCTTCAATTTTATCAGCTTTGTCTTGTGTGGATCAAGTGATTATTTTTCTCCACCAAGTTAACTGAGTTTAATAAAAGCAAACCATGAGTCTAACTAGCTTTATGTTATATTTCTATAATCACAGATATGTGGGCAGCTGAGAGAAAGCTCTTGAGGAAATTTGTATCATACTTCTGTCTGAACTTTAATAGCCTTCTGACTTTGCAAGATCAAGAGGTTAGGAAGAAGTTACTACAAAATAAGAAAGCAGCTGATATAAGGCAATTCATAAGATATATAATTTCATAATTTAAGAAAAGAATGAGCCTACCAAAAAACCAGGGAATTTTGGGAAGAGGGTTCGCTACTTCTGAACCAGGGTTTGTGAGAGGGCAGAACTTCTGAGAATATATGTGTTCAAAGCATTATTTGCAGACTAAATATATTATAAACATATGTCTAGTATGTGTATGTGTGTGCTGATGTGATTGTTTGGATATGGTTGATGCCAAAAGTATTGCTTAATTATAAAACTAATAGCTACTCTATACCAGCTATCCTTGAAAGCTTTTTATAGGCGCCATCCTACTTATTCATCACAGTAACCCACCCAGTAGGTAAACGCTATTTCCAAGATTTAAGAAGGAAGCATAGGAAAGGAAATCACAGAATGTGATGTATATCAATGTGCTCGAAATTCCCCATAAAGAAGATAGCTCTGTTAATGAGAGAGAGAATTTTGGAACTCTTGATGGGGTTACATGGATTGCAGAAGTGGAGGTTAAATGCTTTTTTTTAACTTGCTGTGAGAAACTTTGCTCAGAGTTCTAAGCCAGTTTGTAAGTTGCTTACACAAGGTTTACCTAATACAGCAGCATACTTTGTATTATTCCATATGTATTTCTACACTGTGATACTTTTTATTGCTATAATAGAATATACTGATTAGTCTTTTCTATTGTTTGATTTCACTATGTGTGAAGTTATGAACAGCTATTTTGAAGAATATAAGAGACATTAGGGTAGCCATTATTGATTTCCTATTGTCTTGGTTTGAAGTCCCATAATGCTTTAATTCTTTTGCCTTGACAGATTTTATACTGTTACGCTTTGTTTGAAAATTATTTTGTGTGAAGTTATGGACAACTATTTCTGAGAAACTAAGAGATATTATGGTGGTCACTGTTGATTTCTTGTTGTCTTGTTTTGGAGTCCTGTGTTGTTTGCATTGATCTGCTTTGTTCTGTTTTGTTTAATTCTCTTTAAAATAATAAAAATTTATAAATTTATTTCTCATCTGTTGCCTTGCAACTTCCAGAGCAAGCAGCAATACCTGGTTAAGATCTTTTTGCTGTGTCACCAAATGATAGAAGGCAGAAGGAAAAGTGTGTGTGTGTGTGTGTGTGTGTACACCTAGGCAACTATTCAACTCTCCATTTCATCTGTTTATGAAGGTGGAGGCTTGATGAGCTAACCACTTATCAAAGTCCCATTTCTCTAGACCACTGTACTAGAGATTAAGAGTTTGATATATGAATTTCAGGGGACATATTCAGTACACAAGACACATATAGAATCATGCAATTTCTTATTGGTTTATATGCTTTCCTTTTTTTCTGAGAGGCCGGTGATTTTTGTATCTATTGTACACTTCGATTTGGAAAAATGAGTTTAGATAGTGGAATGTGTTCATCTACTTTTAACCACCAGTATCATCTATATCAACATTGACCAGTAGCAGTATAATGCCTGCCACATATGTGGTTTAAAATTTTCTAGGACCCATATTAAAAAAAGAAACAAGTAAAGTGAATTTCAATAATGTACTTTTATTTTGCCTTGTTTTATAATTTCAACATGTAATTAATATAGAATTAGGTGAGATATGTTGCACTTTTTATTGTGAATCTTTACATTTATAGCACATTTCAATTCAGATATTAAAGCTCTTTGAAAATATTTAATCTATAGCTTGAGCTCATAAAATATATTCAGGTACTCAAACTGCTCCAATCATACTTAACTGAATGAACAGCTAGACATTAACAGAATAGCTTAATGAAGGGCTAGATACTGAATTTTAAAGAATCAAAATCAACACAATTTAAATTCAGTTTTAAATTGGTTTCAACTGGTGTGTTGAGTGCAAGTGCTTAGGGATCTCCTGTGCTTGGTGTCTATCACCGTGGGCAGTGCAACTTTAGAGGACAGTATTTAATCCCTAAGTGCTTATGCTTAATGATCAGAATAAATACAATTGATTAATAAGACAGTTAATCCATGTTGAGCACTTTCTTTGTTTCAGCTTTATTGAGTTTCATTACTATCATTTTACAGATCAGAAAAATAAGATGTAGAAGGGTGAAGTAATTCATCCAAGATCCCAATTAGTAGTGACAAAGGTCCTCTAAAGCCTTTGATCTGGAATATTCTACAGCATACAGTACTACATCATTCTATAGAGGACCCACAGGTTCCGGAAACCACTAAGAGTGACAATTTGCTGTACGTATACATTTTTTCATTGCAAACCTAAGGATCCAATCCAGGGCATTATCTACCCTAGACAAGCATTTACAATTACGCTACATTTCTATCCTGATTCACTGTCCCACCCCAGGTCTATATTAGATCCTGTGTTTTCTATATGATCCCCACCTATTTATGTGGCACTCACAACTCAGCACGGCATCATTGTCGGGTTTCTTCAAAACTCGGAAGTGAGAACTAAATATTGGTTTAATGTAAACAAACTATCTTTCAAAACCTGTTGAGGATTTGAGCACAGTTGTTAGAACAAAAATCCTTTATCTCTGGTAATATCTTTGGTGAAATAATCCTGCTGAACTTCTGTTTCATGTCGTTGTGCTTGAATTTTTTCTAATAATTATAAAGGGATTAACTAAAGCCTGAAGCTGTTTCAATCTATGTTTTCATATTTTTAAGAAGCTATTGCTTCTCAGTGATTCCGCGGATAACATCTAGAGGGCAGTGTTATTGAGTTACGTGGTTACCAGGTAAAACAGAGAAAGAAATGAGATTTTTAAGAAGAATTGCTCGCTTTGTAGGCCCTGAGAAAGGCTGCTGAATTTGCCTGAAACTGAAGCTTGTGAGTTAAGAACACAACCTTCATTTATTCAGCAACAACGGGAAAGTGCGCGTGTTTCCATGGAGACAGGTAAGCCGTTTCCTTTCCCACATTATGAGCACAGGCCTTTTCCCCAAGTCTGATTTCCGTCCCTTTACCCAAGAATGGGTGAGACTGGGAACTGTGATCCTAGGATCTGGCATGGTTCCAGGCAGAACAATAAAAAAAGACATAAATCATGGGAAAAGAGGTTAACGCCAGTGGGAGGTGTGAAGGTGAAGAGATGAAATATGGCCTCCCCTGCACATCTGCAGAATCCAGAACACACTTCACTGGGAAGAGTACATCTGAATGGACTTCACTGTGCAGATGCTGACATGCGCTACGAAAGACTCACAGCCCAGCTGCAATCCTGAACTTTCGTAGGTAATTATTTACCTTCCATTTTTATTTCTAGGCTTTATTTTCTCGGTTTCTCATCAGTTGCCTTGTTTGTTGCTTTAGTGACCAATTATCAAGTACTTGCTAAGTGCAAGACATCAAGATGGATCATGGAGTATATTAGAGAACCTGGGTGTCATATTTTATATTTAAATGTTCCTCCAAAACTTCATGCATTCATAGGAGTTTATTTGGGGAGGTACTTGGATCATAGCACTGTGATACTCATCTGTGTATTAGTCCATTGATACTTTTTTTACAGATGTCATGATGTTTGGAAGTGAAGCCTGGTGGGAAGAGGTGGGCCACTGTGGGCATGGCCTGCACGGGGATATATATCCCTCCTCCTTCCTCAATCCCTTTGCTTGCTAGAACTGTGGTATCAGTATTTGTCTCAATGATGAGAATGTAACTAAGACACTGAAGGAAATTTAACATTGTTCCAGACATGAGTCCTAGTATGAACTAGAAAACCACTGTATTGGACTGTTTTCCTATTTCTGGAACCGAGTACCTGACACACACAACTCGGAGGAAAAGAGGCTTATTTGGCTTATGGTTTGAGTGGGCTTAGTGCATACACGGCTGCCTACAAGGCAGAAACATAATGGAGGAGAGGCATAGAGGAGCAAAGTTGTTTTGTTTATTGTTATCTGTAAGCAAAGCTGGAAAATAGTGCCAGAAAGAAAGCAGCTAGAACAAAACTTAGAATGCAGGACCCCACTTTTATTACCCACCCAGAAACAACCGGAAGTATGCTTTACTAGGTTCCAGGTTATTTGACGGGCTTGACTCACTTACGGGGTTATAACAGCCATTTGTCTCCAAAAGCTGCAGTGCACTGAAGCTGTGAATACATCCTCAGGCGCAGGGTGCATTTTGGGTCAAGGTGACTGTGTGGGACGCGCTTGCATTAGTCACTAGTAAAGGGTTGTGAGATCAAGCCTGGAGTTGACATTCAAAAAGTGAACGTGACAAAATCTGAGTGGCAGGTTCATGTGTACTGCACTCTTTCTGTGAAGTCACTTTGGAAGTATTGATATCTCCAGGCAGTGTCCACTGAACTCTAGGGATGCATAGACCAGGAAATACGGGCTTTATTTTTGCTTTCTCAAAGATCCCCGTGACGGACCCCAAAGTGTTTGTCCTTCCCATCGTTTGTATGCTATGCTGCGCTCTGGGACTTCTGTCTTCACTACTGTAGCTTGAACCCAGAATTACATCTTCATCATTTTAGCAAGGTGTTGATCACTTGCCAGTAGTTCTCTTAAAGAGACAATATTGAGAAATATCTTACCATATCAGTTATTTCAATAAGGAGATGAAAATAATCCCTGCCTCATCTTAATGTCCATGTGTTACTTGCATTTTCCTCTCTGAACTAAGAATCATAGACATTGTTGCCATTCGATTCCACCTGCCTAATATGATGCCTAATAGAATGCATCTTTTATCAGCTGTTTATGAATTTGAGAGTGAATTCAATTTAGGGAAGTGATTAAAAATGGCAAATGGAAACATGTTTAATTACCTGTTGAGAGAAAATGCCATTTTCTCTTCAAGACAATTTTGTAAGCACTTCCAATTTTTGTTTTTGTCACACACATGGAAGACCCACAGAAAATCAAAGTCTAGAGGGGGGTGTGTACCTTTTGGCTCTAGGGAGAACAAGATGAAAGGAAAGGAGAAAAAGAGGAACAAAAGAAAGCGGCGTCAGGCTGAACGTGGAGTGAAGTTGCAGCTGGACCTTGACTTCTCCACTCAGGTAGACTAAAATCAACAGGAGTAATAGCATTACTGAACCCTCCATTATGCATAGTTCCTTTAAAGCTTTTATAACATTAACTCACAATACCCTGAAAAACCTTTTGAAGTCTATAATACTATTACTTACTTATCCCCATTAGAGAAATGAAAACAATAAACCCCAGGAAAGTGATTGTGTAGCTTGATCTACCTCTGTATGGCTAGCACAGTTTGGCAATGGAGTGCGTGAGACCAGTCATTAAGGCGCCATAGCCTGTGCTCCCAGGTCCACACTGCGCTCCATCTCCACAAACCCTCACTCTCCTGCGCCACATCCCTTCTTAGTGCTTGTCCTCTGCCTGTGCTCTTTTCTTTAGTCACCCTGATAATTGTGTGAACTGTTTTTCTTATTTATCATCACAGCAACTAACACTCAGAAGCTCAAGAAAGAAATGCAAGTTACCCAAGATTCCCCACGAGTAGTACAAGTGAAGGCCATCATAGTGCAAAGTCTACGTTTTTCTCTGTGCCCCAGTACTTTTTAATGGAACTGTGTGAAAAACTTTCTTTCCTATCTTTAACTTTATAGGAAGAACTAAAGATACCCTTGACAGCAATTAAACTCCTAGCTTTGTACCTGAAAGAGAGGAAACTTTGGGAGTTTTATGTTAGACTGCCTTCCAGGTCCCATCTGAGAGGAGGCTTTTGAATCTAACTATCCTTGTTTGGTAGCATAAGTCAGTCTCCACCAGTGCTATACATCCATGCAGGCTTTCAGTTTATTTGCAATATGAAGGGTTAAAGTGAATCATTCGTAATTTATATGTGCAAGCATTTATATTATGGTCATTCATTAGAAAAATAAAACTTTTTAAAGCCAGTATTAATTCTGAAGATAGGACTTGAACAAATACTATGTTCAGACATGGTTTTTTAATTCAAAATATTAAAATTATAACTATCCACTTACACATTTACATACTGCCATTCTACTTGAAACATTTTTTTCCACAAGATACAAATGTGATAAATGGTTTCGTTATTTCAGTTTAGAAATAAGCAGCTATAGAAATCATAGTTTAATATATTCCAGATTAGACTGCATGCTATATTTGTAATAAGGACTTGTTTCCAACATTAGTTGGCAGATCACTCATGTGAACAATTATCCAAATAGCTATTAGGATATGATTGCACTCATTTCCAGGCAAAGCAAGGTTGCCAGAACTAAGCCTGGCTGCTGGTTAGATTTTGGTTTGACTTTTGGAGAAAGCCACAAGAATTTGTCAGTCATCTTGTCTGCAAGGGAGTCTCCCTGTTTGGAGTGAGTCTCCCTCCTACTTGAAAATAGAGGAAAATGTGTTTTACCTTTGCTTGCTTTTTATACTTTTCCATGAGCTAGAAGGGAAAAACATAAGGAAAGGAAAGAGATGGAGGGGAAACGAGGAAAGGGGAAGAGAGAGAAGGGGCAGTTTTGCACAGGAAATTAACATGAAACACCAAGACAGTGAGATATAAAAGCCTTAAAAATCATGGCTCTGGAGAGCAAGAATGAGGAACAGGTCTCCATAGCTATGCACAGAGCATCTTGAGTACATGCTCCACAGTTACATCTCTAAGGGGAACCCCATGCTTAGCATAATTTGCAGAATGGATGCCAAAAGAAATGGTGTTTATAGGAACGAAGAATCAAACTTTTTCTTGTTGTCCGTTCATTTTGCTTCTGCATAGTTTGGCACTTGGGGACTCTGCTAGTTAATCTAGTCCAACACTCTGCCCCGAGAACAGTGACTCCCTTAGACTGGGTAAAGAAAAGCCCCCTTTGTGCTCGCATCTGTGAATGGTAGGAAGATTATTTAGAAAGTCTATGTGCTTCTCGGGAGTGGGGCGATCCCTCCCTCCCAAGCTGTGTGACGATGGAGGTTTATGACAAGCCTCAGATTCCACTCATTGACCACCAAAACCACTGTCCTTGCCACAGTTGGAAAGGTCACCATTCTTCTTCTCCACCTCTGATGATGTGAAGTAGCTGAAGGGGCAAACACAGTTTTCCTTTTTAACTAGAAGTAATTGAAGTCCGTTGATGACCTCTCTAACGTATGTTAATAGTTTAAGCCTGGGAAGACAAGCTATGTGGATGTTACCTTTAAATGAAATAAAATTTCACATACTCTTAAGGGTTTTATAATTTTTTAACCAAACATACATAGAAGGAGGGCATTTATGGGCTAGAGATTTAGCTCAGCGGCATAAGTGTGTGCCTGGCAAGCACAAGGTCATGAGTTAGATCCCCAGTCCAAAAAAAAAAGAAGAAAGAAAGAAAGAAAGAGGGCAATTTACTTGGCATAGATGCTACAGATCTATGATAGGCATCTAGCTGGAGATTTGCTTCTAGTAATTATAATCAAAGCTAAACTATGAGTATGTAAAATGTTTGTATGTGAAATAAGTGGGTTTTATGTTCTATTTTCAGTGGTTGTCATTAATTCTCTATTTTGACATTAGAATTTAGAAAATCAGTACAAGGAAATAGAAGAGTCATTTCTATAATTATCCTATACTGCTCAATAGATGTTAGATGAAAATAATTATAAACTTTTTTATATTTGTCTAACATTTATTGAGAATTGTCATGGGCAAAACTCTAAGTTCTTACACATACATTATCTCTGTTATTACTCAGAATGGTCCTCTTGGAGGAGGAGGATGACAACCACCATCTACAGATATGGAATCCGTAGTGGAGAGGTGTGTCCACATGTCCAAGGGCACAAAAAGCTTATGGCAGATATGGTGTACAGACTTGGGTGAAAAACACTGTCAGTGCTGAATGGGACAGCATCATTAAAAGTAAACTGTTGAGGAGAAATTGCATGTATTTATCCCATAAGAACCTGAAAGTAGTTGCTTTTGATATGGTCCCAAGAAGAAGAAAGAGAAGGAGGAAGAGGGGTTTGAGGAGGAGGAGGAGGAGGAGGAGGAGGAGGAGGAGGAGGAGGAGGAGGAGGAGGAGGAGGAGGAGGAGGAGGAGAAGGAGCAGCATTGATTGAAGAATAAAAGGCTTTTAAAATCAAATGCCAATCTTTACTCTCCTCTCCCCCAAAATGCAAAAGAAGTTTTCCTCATGACCAGCATATATGAAAGCAATTATGAGGGGTTTGAAAGATGACAACTGTTCTCAAAATTTTTGGCTGTTTGTCTAAGGAGACAGTGGAAGGAAGCCACAGGTTTTCTTTACT